TATATAACAAATATGATATTTGTATATCTCTAGTGTAAAGCTTCACCTTATCAAGTAAATTTTCTGACTAGGTCATCCGGACTCCTAAACAATGTAAGTGGCCAACCTCAGTATTATGAGAAGCAGCACGGTTTATAAACAAAACAAACCAGACACGTGATCGCAGTCTGCCGGAACTAAGGATTGGACCCATATCCAGGTTACCTAGGTTACCCATGGGTAGGCCGTGTAACTGGGTAAAGGTTCTATTACCCGGGTAAAAATGGGTAACCAATCAAATACAAATAAAATTTTAGTAACATCTAGGGTATCATTAAAATTTTTGAATAATTAGGATAATGTAGTTAATAGCAAATGATATTAGAATTCGGATTTAAATCCATTTTATAATATAAAACTGAATCTGTAATCTAAATGATCTATAAACACTGAATCGATAAAATAAGTTTGTTCTAGATGATTAAATATTTTTGAATAGAGCGTATATATATATATTTTAATTTGGCATTTAATTTTACTATCGTTATTGTTCCATTTAACCAAATATGATCATTAAAATAAATCTAAATTGCGCTTTAACAATTCAAATTCAAGCTGGAAATTACTAGTTAAAACTTTGTACATATAAATAAAATTCTTTCATTAATGAAAAACAAATACTAATTCATCAACTATAACTTTTAATCAGGTTAATCATAAAAATTAGAAGTATTTTATTATACAAAATAAATGTCATTTTACCAGTATTGTTAAAATACGTATGTATCTTAATATATGTGTTGTTATATTAAACTTGTAGATAAAGTTAGTTTAGTTACTAGATTATATAAGTAAATACATACTGTATTTTCACAAAATAACGCCCACCTGCGCATTATTTTGAGTATATGCGCATTAATTAGAGTACACGCATGGGCGTTATTTTGAAACAAAGGTTGATTTTTTGATTAACCTGATTTTCTAAATAATGCCCATGTGCATTATACACCGGGTTGGTGAAAAGTAACTGGGCAGTGACCTTTTTTTAACCAATATGATTATCAATTTAACGTTTCAATAAATTAATTTATTGCAATGATTACTAAATGTTAAAATGATAATCATAGTGATTAAGAAAAGATCACCATCCAGTTACTTTTCACCAACCCGATATAATTTATTTATATGGGGTGCGCGTTATTTAGGGACGCACATGGGCATTATATTGAGATATCACATACTATTTTAGGGGAGCACGCTTTTCTAATTAACGCCTATGCTCGTTATTTCGCAAAAATACGGTATACAGTAATATAAAGTATAAAATGTGGTACTAAACTTGTGATTTGCCTATATGAAATTTATGCTAACCCAAAAAGTAAGGTAATTAAATCATGGTCATGCAGTAATAACAAACAGAAAAGAAAATAATAATACCAAAAAGATGAGACCGTAAAAATGGCTATGCATGTGAAAATCTTAAATATATTCATAAGCATCTTCAAATTCACACGAAAAAGTTAAAAATAAAATTAGTATAAATAAAATCAAATACTTTAGAAAATATATTGAACTTCTAATTATATAACTCAATACTATAAATATCTTATAGAGTGTGATCCAATCAAAATTTTATAAATTTCTTTCTTTTTTCTATTAACTCATATATTTGGATTGAATTTGCTTTTTATAATTAGTTTTTTCATTTAATTACAAAAATTCTTTTTAGTTTGTTAACTGAAATATATAGCTTTCACTGTTTTTAAAACTTTATATTAGTTAGTAACAATCGTTATTTTTAGTATTAGTTCTAAATTTTATATTATACACTTATTTTGAGATTATATAATAGATATTAATTATTATACTGATGATGATATGTACTTGGAATCTATGGAGTCAAACATTCAAGAAATTAGTGAGCAAATTCTTGATCAAAATACTAGTATCAATGCAAAGTTAAAATCAAAAAAAGTAAAAGTGAATTTTGATCCAAAAGTTAATAAGGGGAAAGGAAGTTGGGTCTGGGATTATTTTCTAACTGAAAAAGGTTGGGACATTTGCAAAATTATGGTGTTTATTAAGGAAAAAGAAAAAGAATGTAGCCAAAAATACAAACATGATGGTGGAACTGGAAATATGGCCTATTATCTACGAATTCACTATAAAATATGAATCTGATTATGAATTAATATCACAGTCTCAATCTCAGCAATTATGAATTAATGATATGTTTAGCAAACATACACCTCATAAAGCTAAAAAACAAAATAAGCTATGACGTGCAACATCTGAATGGTTAGTGACTGATTCACTTTCCCTAAACACTGTTCAAAAAAAAGGATACAGAAAAATTATTAGTCAATTTGATCCAGCTTTTACATTTTCAAGCCATAAAAGCATTAAAGCAAATATTGGAAAGGCCTATAAAACAGGTACATATTTGCTTAAAGAACTTCTTGCAAATACTTGTTAAACTGCTTCTTTAACAGCTGATTTTTGGACTGCTCATAGTCAAGATGGTTATATTGGAATTACATTATACTGGTTAACTCCTAGTTTTGAGGTGCGTGATGCAATTATATGTGTTGAAAAATTTGAATATCCCCATACTGCTAAAAGAATTAAAAATCATATCTATAAAAAAATAAATGAGTTTAATCTATTAAAAAAAATAACATGTGTGGTAACCGATAATGGTGCCAATATAAAGAAAGCAATCAATAAATTAGAAGGCATTGTTAGATTACCTTGTTCAACCCACACCTTACAATTAACTATCAATTGTGCATTAGCTATAGTAAAACCTCATACATATCATGTTCGTAAACTAGTAAAGTTTTTTAGTACTCCAAAACAAAGTCAGCGGCTTTATCAAGCTCAGTATGAATTAACACAACGTAATATAATGGAAAGAACTAGAATTCACATAAATAAAGAGTTAGAAAATCAATTAGTTATAGATGAAACTGAAAATTGGAATCCTGATGACGAAGGTAAAATAAAAATTTTATGTCCAATTAAAGATATCAAGACTCGCTGGAATTCAAGTTATATAGCATGAAAACATTTATTAATTCTTAAACCAGCAATCGAATGATTAAATAGTACTATTGGTCTTTTTAATAAATCAGATGCAAAAAAAGATGCATAGAAGTTAAGTAATTGTATGTTAAATAACTATGAATGGGAATTATTAAGTAAATTAGTTAGTATACTAGAACCCTTTGATCAACTAACAACATATCTAAGTGGAATGCAATATACAATGCTATCAGTAGTAAATCCTAGTATTGAATTTTTGAAATATCAATATGCTGGAGAGGCGACATTATCTGTTGATAAATTAAACCAAATGTAGAATAATCAGGATGAATTAAAAAGTGATAACAGTTAGTATATTTTAATGCAATAAATAAAATATAAATATTATTAATATTTAGAACAAAATATTTAGAATCCAATTCGTCCTGTGATGAGAATAAAGAAAGCAGTGAAAGTGAGTCCGATGATGAACATTTTACCAGTTTACATAAACACAATACTCGAAGCAAAAAACATAAGCCAGCACCAATGCATTCTATTAATACAATAGTTGCAAAGTTACATAATGTTATTTACAATTCTTTCTGGCATTACTAGTTAGATGTAGACAAAGTAGGACTTATGGCAACTGTGTTAGATTCAAGATTAAAGAGTATGAATTTATGGCCAGAAGAAATTCGAGAACAAGCTATCATTGAATTACACAATGAATTTCAAGATTTTATTACTATCAACATAGAGTCTACTTTATCTAATTCGATTCAGCAAACTTCTTCTAATTCAATTCAGCAAACTTCCTCAGCACCAAATTTTATGAAACATATTTTTAATTCTAATCAATTTCAAACAAAACATGAAGCAGAAATTGATAACTATTTGAATCCCCAAATTACACCACCTGAACCTGAAAATACAGATGTTTATCTTTGGTGGCATCTAAACCAAAAGAAATTTAAAATATTAAGTAAAATTGCACGACAATTCCAGCAACACCAGTTCCTTCTGAAAGGTTATTTTTTGTTGCCGGAAATCAAATCACCTCTTAAAGAACTAGACTTGCACCAGATTTTGTAAACCAATTACTTTTTGTCAAGCAGAATAGTTTGTACTGTGACATGTGGTCTTAACAAAATTAAGATATTTCAATACACAGTCTTACTCAAATTAAGATATTAAGATATACTATAATCTGTTTGAGTAAAATAGTATAATAATTTACTAAATCTTGAGTTTGCTTTACTTTCTAATAACCTGTAATGCAAAATTGTTATCAATTGATAAAACTTATTAAATTGCAGAAATTATATAAGATCTACCAATACAACTATGTGTTTAACTCATAGTATTCATTTAATTAGTAGTTAACGCAAAAGATTAGCTATTTAAAATAAAATAAAATTTACTTTAAATATTATTTTATACTTTGTAACTCTTATTTATAACAGATGACTTCTTATATAAAATAAAATAACAGATAAGCAAAACTTTATATACCATATTTGTATCACATAACAGTCTATTAGCCAATCATTTTACTGATTATACTTTATCTGGGTAATTACCCGAGTAGGCAGGCAATTACCCAACAGGTAATCTGAGTTGGGTTTTTTAAAACGGGTCCAATTCCTAGCCGGAACTGTTCAGATTTGGTAGGTGTAAACAATGCCGATCTTTTGGAGGGAGTAAGCTATTTTGCCCACTTTTGTGAGAAATTTTGGAAGAGCGGTGAGAAGGCGGAGAAAAGAGATGAACCCACTTTGTTTTGTTTAATAAATGAGTGTGTATTTTCTTTATTCAACACATTGAATCTATAGGAAGGCACCAATACTCTCCTTATTTTTTCAGGTAAGTGATAAACTCTAAGCTTGTTGGCAAATAGCGTATAAGAACTATTTTTAAACGACAAGTGCCCGGCCCCACAGTGAGTGATAAACTCAAAAGAAGTTAGCAGGTAGCATATGAGAACTACCTCTAAATAACAACTGCTGAGTTACGGAGCTTAAGGATTACTTCCCAGTCTGTTTCAACCTTTATAGATACTTGTATTTTTTTAGAATTTTGGATTTTTTTGTAGTAAAAAGGATCATCAGGAAAAGTTCGTTTAATTTAAGCTAAATATTATTATTTAAAGCCAATGTTAAATTATTAAAATAAAATTAACAAATTACCAAATATAGAGAATATCTAAAGTAGAGTAGATTCTTATAATATATATTTTATCAAATTAACTTTAGGTTTATAGTTATCTTGGATTATGTTTAGAGCAAGCTTTAGATAGTTATATAAAAGCAAAATTGCCTTCTTGATATTTTTACTTAGCTTATTCAAAATAGGTTTAGACTGCTATTTTTTTGTATTTCAAAGTTTTTTGCTTTTTTTCTTGTTTTGCTTCATCAGCGATCATCAAAATTCTATAATTTAATTGGTCGTATATTACGTGATTTTGCTTTGCTTTAGATAACTCCCAAATAGTAATTTTATTACTATATAGTAATTTACTAAATATTTTTTAAAAAATTATAAAATTTTCAAAAATGTACAATTTGTTATATTAAATAACTTTATTAAAAAAAAATTACTAGTATACTTGCTAAAAAATTAAGTTTTATATATACTAAAAATTAATGGCTTGGATTTATCACTTTGTACTAAAAATAGTACATTTTATAAAATTTTTAAAAAATTATATATATAAATATTTTTATATACAAAAATTTGTTAGATATTCTAAAATAGTTTAGCACTATTTATTTTATTATTATTAAGAAAATTATTTTTACATAATTTTTAAATATTCAATTATTTGTGATTCTTGATATACTAGAATTAGTACACTTTTATGTACATTTATTTTATAAAGTTATTAATAAATTTTAAAAATTAAAAGTTTATAATATTAAAAATACCATGGGGCTTATTATATAAAAAAATTATTATTATTTATATAATAAAAATTTTAACTTTATATTATAAGATTTATGTAGTACAAATTAAAAATCATTACTATTTTAGTATTTTATATATTTTTTTAATTTTTTAAATAATTTTAAAAAAAAGTTTTATATGAAGTATATACAGAGATTACAGCTCCTTTCACATTAGAAGAATGGGTACTAGCTTTGAGTAAAACTAAAAATAATACAGCACCTGGGATATCGAATATCAGATATATTCTTTTTAAGAAACTATCACCCAAAGTGATTAAGAGAATTTTAAAGTTGATGAATGCGATTCTCGAACAAAGCAAGTGGAAACTCGGGCAAATATATCTAATCCCAAAAAATAGCTCTGGAAATACAATTTGAGCAACACGAGACCTATAGTGTTGTTAGAAACATGTAGAAAAATTCTAACACGAATGCTTCAGTTGAGGTTAGATAAAGTTTTAAGCAAAAATAATATATTGAAGGGAGCAAACTTCGCAGATCTGTCCAGAGAAAGTACATCAACCCCTATATATATAATGAACAATATAATAGAAGAAGCTATAGAAAAAAAAAGGGAGCTTTGGGTTACGTTTCAAGATATGAAAAAAGCCTTTGATTCAGTTAGTATGGTCTTATTAAAGAAAGCTTTAGAAAGAATTAAAATGCTAGCAAAAATAATTGAAATGATATCAGAGTTATATAAGAACAGGCAGCTTAGCATTATAATAGAGTTTGGAAATACAGATTTCATAAAAGCAGAGGACGGTATAGATCAAGGGGAGGTACTTTCCCCTCTGATTTGGAAAATTTTTTATGATTCTTTGTTATGTAGAGTACAAAGAGCCAAACTTGGTTATGAAATGCAAAACATAGAACCTTTTATGAAATCAGGGAACAATAATATTAGAGTTGGTGTATTGGCGTATGCAGATGACACAATCTGGTTAACAGATAGTCAAAAAAATATGCAGAGTACAATTGACATCGCACAAGAATTTTACAAGCTAAATGACATTGAAATAAACCCCAACAAAACATGAACTTGTAGTGTTGAAATCAGATAAAAGAAATCATTTTAAAGATTTTTCAATCTGGATAAGAAATCCAAGGACCAAAATTATAGCAAAAAATCCTAAAAAAACTACAAGATTTTTAGGAGTTTGAATGTCAATCAAAAATCAGAAGAGTTCAGATGTTTTCAAAGCAAGAAATATAGTAGGCAAGATCTTAGGTCTACTAAAACACAAACAAATATCTCTTAGTCAGATTATATATGTGAACAATACAATTTTAATATCTACCTTGGAGTATAGACTAATAGTTTCATGCTTGACCAAGGCACAATATGAGAAAATACATTAGCCAATGATTCGTTTAATCAAATGGAAAATGTCGATACCTTCCACAACAGCCAATATAATAACAAAACATCCAGAGACAACAGCCCTCAAAAGTCTTTGAAATAGACATATGGAGCATCATATATCAGAGTTGCTAGTCAGACTAAATACACCAGGTCTTTTAGAAGATTCGACAACAAGAAGGCTCAAGCAAGATTAGCTAAGAGCAGGTTCAACAAAGTGCATCTTAACAAATCAAATCATACTAAAAAAGGAAGAAATGAAAAGTCATAATCTGGGGATAAACATTTTGTATCAAGCACATACTTTGGGCTTCATTATAGAAGAAAATGAGGTTACAAGAAACTGGAATTTAGATCTGATACAAACAGTGAATGATGAAGAGATTGCATGTGTTCTTGAATGCTTGAATATGGCTTACTTGGAGACAAAAGCAAGTGACCTGGGCCTAATAGTAGTATTACAACTTATTGCAAAAGATGGTAAAACAATGCATACATAGGATCAATTTAGATTAGCACATAGTGTAAGTTTAAAAAGGAAAAAACCAGGCTGGTTTGCTAAATTAGAGAAGGAGATCCTAGAAGACCCCAGGTTAAGAAAAGTCAAAAACAGATACAAATGTAAAACAAACAATAGTAATGCTTCTAACTTTGAGATATAAGAAGTAAGCAATAACAAAAGAGTAAGAGAATGGGTTTGTTGGAAAGAGGATACAAACAAACCTATTTATATAGGAAAAATCAAAGAAAAAGAAAACGTATATATAGAAGTCGAAAAATATAGAGAAACAATAGAGTGTCAAGAAAATGAATTTCAGCAGTTCCTAGAAATTGACAAGACAAGTGAAACATGTATAGTTAAACGTAGAAAACTTGGAGATATTTCAAACATACCATATAGTTCCAAAAATAAGCACCCCTTTTTTGTTATAGGGGTGCTTATTTTCGGATATAAAATGAACAAGAAAACCAGTTTTTAACCAGTTTCTAATCTGATAACTATTATAAGGGAGCTTATTTTCGGATATAAAAAAATTATGGGGTGCTTATTTTCGGGGGGTGCTTATTTTTGGAACTATACGGTAGTTCAGAAAACAGAAAAAGGTGCAAGGTTAATTTTTGAAAAACAACATATAGAAAAAACGTTTGAAAAAGTGGAGGAAAAATATTTGGTTAAGGCAAAAGATTTAAAAATAATAAAAGAGGAGGTTAATATAGAAATAGAGTGTGAATGTTGTTGGGAAGTAGTTTTAATCAATAGAACAGTTAAAAGTGCTATAATTAGAAGTAGAATAATAGAGAGTTTAGAGCAAAATAAGAATTAGATAGTTTATTTTTTATACTAATGGCTCACTCGGACCTGCAGAGGATGAAGAAAATTGGTAATAGGTTGTGGGACAATCCAAATTACAGAAACAGGACACATTTTGTATCAAATATCATGTGCAACGAAGAAATAGTTTTCATCTACAAGAGCAGATACAGGTCGAAAGATAAAAAATCAGGCACAAATCAGGTACCCGATTTTAAACTAATTACTGCCTGATTACCACCTGATTTATGCATATTTTTGTACCAAAAATTTGGTACAAAAATATGCATAAATCAGGCGGTAATCAGGCAGTAATTAGTTTAAAATCGGGTACCTGATTTGTGCCTGATTTTTTATCTTTCAACCTGTGAGAGATGGTGGCAATTCTTCTCGCTTTACTTATCTAACCTTGTAGAAGAAGTGTAGAGATTAGAACAGATAGTATGGCAGCAATTTTAGCAACCGAAAAAGACCTAAAAATGAACAAGATAAAATCTTGGCTAAAGACTAAGAATAGTGGTTTGTTAACAACAATTATAGAGTTAATCAAGACAAAGGAGTTAAATATATGCTTTATCAAGATCACAGGTGACATTTTTAATGAGCTAGCAGACTTGAAAGCGAAAGAGGGTGCTAAGTCAACACAGTACCTAACTCCAGAACCACTATATACAAAAGATCATAAGATAAAATACACGTGAGAAGGTAAATTAGTCAAAAAGCCAATCCATTCTTTTGTCAAAATGATAGGAAGAGTATTAAT